TCTTTCCTTTCTTCCTTTTCCCCTCCCCTTAACTTCACTGAAGACAGTTGGTATTTATTTCCATGTAAGGCTGGAGCCAAGAAAGGATGTAAATCAGTAGTTGTGTAAGACTTCATGTATACAGAAATGGAAGAACAGATGCAGATTTTGCATTCATAATTGCTGTCTTTGCAAAATATATAAGGTGCTTTTTAGATTAGGGGTTTTGGGGTTTTTTGGTTGTATTCAAAGGCAGAAAAACTGGTGTCAGAAATACCTAAACCCTGAAATACATACTGGTGAAGAAGCATGTATAGGACAAATTGAGAGTACAGATACATCTACTTGTTTTGTATCAAGACACCAGTACAAATGCAGTAAACTAACAGTGTATTACACTGAGAAATAAAAGTTGCACATGCTCTTATTTGCTTTAACATATTTTACAAGTTGAGCGGGGGAGAGGAGATTTTTCTGTTTTAAAACATAGCATGGTCCTTTGGCTCCAAACAGGAACAATCCTTATCTTTCCCCTTCCAATAATTAATCCAGTCTTAACTTTGTAGAAATCGCACTGTAAATGAACAATAAACATGTCTTTTTTTCAGTGTTAACTAGCGTTGGAAGAGAAAGAACAGCAAACATCTCCCAAAAAGCACAGACATTCTGACTTCCAGATTACAGTACATTGCTTTGCTTCTTCCAAATCCTGTTTACATGAGCAAGGTCAGGGGATGGAACATTAGACAGCCTCTACAGTGATTTCCTGCTGCTGTCAGTAAAAACTACTGAGACATCATCAACTTTCCCTTGTTACCAACAGCTTATCAGGGACCAGACGTTACAGATGTATTGCCTTACAGACTTGAAAAAACCCAACCTCCCTCAAAACTAAAAGTAAAATCAGATAATGAAACGGGAGGAAATAGTCCCAAAGGGAAACAAAGAGTTCCAATTTTTCCTTTTCAATAGTTCTGAAAACAAAGGCAATATTAAGCTGCTTGACACAGAGAGGCACTAAAGCTTTCAGAGTCAGCCGCGAGATAGAAAGGAGAAAGAAATACAACACCCAGCCCCCAAACCTTGACCCCAATTCAGTGAACATTTTCAGAGTGTAAAAGGCTACAATACACCTCATTTTTAATAAGTGCAACACATATGAAGGCTCTGACCGTTAGAAAAGTCAGGACATTACACAAATACCTGTTAGTTAAGCATATATAGCTTGTCTTTATACTGGTTTCAGTAACACATACAAGAACTAAATAAATGAATCAAGTTCAAAGCTATTTTCCTGACAGTAACAATACAGACAGTAATTCTTAATGTTTATGTATTACAGTCCAGAAGAAAGCAGCTCCATACTGACAATTACACTGAAGTTTTTCCACCAGCCCATTTACCACATTTGCTTCACTAAGTTTACAAAAGAAGGTGCCTCAGTGTGAATATTACATGAAAATTGTTTTTTCACCATGTTCAAAAAGAACTGGCCTTACAGCTTTAAGTTAGAACACAAGCTGGAAAGATAAGGTGTTTAGAGTTCAGGGAGTTTAATAATTTAAGGGTTTGCTAGCAAAAGCCTTATGAGAACATTCATACCTGCATGTCTTGGCTTAATCTCCGAAGCAAGAAAATGCAAGTAAATTTAAAAACCTCATATAAGCAGGCTTTTTAAATGTGGAAGTTGTCATGGACTGTTGGGTTTGATGAAGCAATAAATTAAAATTCCTTGAAAAGGAGGAGTGGAAGGAAGAGATAATACCAGTATTTCCTCAAACAGATAAAGCTCAAAATAAAAATGATTTGCTAAGAAAATATCTAAACATATATTTTGAATTCACAATAAAGAATCAAGACTGTTGAATGTTTAAATATTTGTTTTTCAAATCTTCAGGCAGACTGTTATCACGAAGAGATGACAGTGATACTGAGCTGCACCCTAATTATCTGCAGTTGTGCATCCTGTTTTGGGCTTCTCAGTGCAGGAGACACTGACATCCTGGAGTGAGTCCAGCAGAGGGCAAACAAGATGGTGAGGGGGCTGGAACACATGATATACAAGAAAAAGCAGAGAATCGGGTTTATTCAGCCTTAAGAAGGAAGAATACAGAGAGATTTTACTGCATCTCAAACATCTAATGGGTGGATAGAGAGAAGACAGAGCCAGACGCTTGTTAGAGGACCACTGTGATAGAATTAGAGGCAACAGGCATGCTGGAACATGGGAAATTCTAGCTACATATTATGAAAAAAAACCCAAAAAACATTTTCACCAGTCAAACACTAGAGCAAACTGCCAAGAGAGGTGGTAGAATCTCCATTCATACACATATTAGCAAATGAACCTGACAAGGCCTTTAGGAACCTGATCCAAGTTGTCTTTGCTTTAATGGGGGGATTAGATGAAATCACTCCAGACATCCCTCTCAATCTATACTGCTCTATCATTTTTATTAACAAATCTTTAGAGAAGGGAAGAAAAGGAATACCTTTCTGCTCTGTCACAAGTCATCTTAAGGGCAGTAATAGCATATTTCCTATGACCAGTAGTACAGGACACACTTCCAATAGCTGAGGAAGATATTCTCAATAGGGAGAACACTTTCTCCCATTCCCAGGAGTAGCTTGAGATCTATGGGAGTTTGCACACTTATCACTAGGAATTTTGATAGTCATTCAACAAAACTTTATAAAGGTTTTGTACAGACTTCCAATCTCCCTGAAGAGATTTCAGGGAGCTTTAGGGAACTCATCACAGATGTTCAAAAGCTTCACTGTAGTTACTTGTCCCAGAGAAGCTGGTCTTTTGAGTACTTGAGACAGTGATCTGAGAAAGGCTGTATCTCTCTTCTTCAGAAGAAAAATTAAACATGTTTATTAGCTGCTTCCAGTGGTCCAGGGACTTGCCAAAGTATTTTGTAAATAACCCTTAGGGCCCTGCTGTGTCACAGCCGTGAGAAATAGATATAGAACAAGAACCCTTAAAGATACCTAAGTGTAGAGTGCATTTTTTTCTCTGTACATGTCAGAAGGGCAGAAGAACGGCTTCAGCTTGAACAAAACACTTCAAAAAGAGTAAGCAGGTATAGATAATTAACCTGGCAACCTGATTAAAGAAAGATTTTTAGTCATGTGAACAGTGCTCTTCCAGTAGGAATAAGACCAAAAAGTTGTAGGCAGCTTTAAGATGGGTCTTGACAATTTGGGAGGGGTGTAGGGGGAAGCATAGAGTGATACTGTCTTTGATAGCCAGTATAAAAAGAGCAACCCAAGGGGTCTGGAATCAGGGAGAGGGATGGGGAAGGAAAATGAATTAGAAGTTGGTAAACTCAAGTTAGAGGAGGATTGAACAGAACACACACACACAGACAAATAATGCACATAGTATCCATCAAAGTGCGGACAACAGTATCAAGAGGAAATCTGGCAGATAGGTTGGCAAAGTTGATGTACCTGTTCTTTACTATGGGAGAGAAAGGATGCTAGTAGCAGAGAAAACATGCAAATGGTTTCTGGATTTGTGTCAATGGTGGTGTGTCAGACAGAGCCATAGTCCTTAAGGCTGCAGTCTGAGTAACAAGTACACAGAAATGTTGCTAGATGGAAAACGATGCAGATGGTGAATGTTGAGGTGCAGAAAGGTAAGAATCAATGGAGAACAGGAGGCTAAGATAATGAAAGAAAAGAAAAAAGAGGTAGTGATTACTGACACAGTCAAAAGGCATGAATTTTGAAGCAACATTCTTGTAATGAAAACTGCAAAGCCAGCCAGCCATCAAAAGGACGTTTTCTCTAGTGGGTCAAGTTATTTGTACTATGAGTTCTGCACACAAAATTCTCTTAACAAGAGAATTAATGAAGGAGATAAAAATTACTGGTAAATTTATAGATATGTAATAGAGAATTACAGTATAACTGTACATTTAATTCTGTCATCAGTATTAAGATCAGGAAGTATTTTAACATGATAAGTAGCCAATAAATTATATCCACTACAATCCACTATCTGTCAAGCCTACTAAAGAGATTTCTGTAAGTCTAAGATAAATTCTGTCACAAGTACTTTGCAAGGAACCATATTTTCATTGTGAAAACACAACATGACAACAGCTAAACCTTAAAATACATGAAGTTCTCTCTCAAATAAAAGTGATTACATAATTATTTGTGTTGAAAAGGTTTCTCATAGACATCATAATCTTCGAGAATTTTATAAAGTACCTTAACAACATACCTTTTCATAAAGCATTCACGACAAAATAGAATAGCAGAAACTATGCCTTCTGCCTATTCATATGTATTAACCCTTCAACCTCACAAACTCGTTTATAGTAACTAAAATTGCTCAGGATACAATTTATATCTTCACAGACACAGACTCAAAGCTAGAAGAAAAACTCTCATTTTAACCTAATTCTAGAATAGTGCATCTTTTAGATTTCATACCAGGAGAACATATTTCTCCTCCTACGAAACTACCACTAAAACATTGCCTTCCTTTCCTCCCACATGCCATACCAATGTCATATGAAGAGCTAACACTAGAAGGATCTAATCCTATGATTCTGTGATGAAAATGGTTCTTTTTTCTCTCCTTAAAAGGAGAAAAATTAAAACATCACCTTTGGAATTTTATCAATGAGACAACTACTCTTTAGGTTTCTCATTATTCGCAGATAATGGGAAGAGAGAGAGAATTACAAAAAGTGTTTGAGAATAAGCCACAAATTTTAACAGTAATGCCTAGATATAATTAGCATGGGTTTACAATTAAAATTTCTGCTTAGTGTATGGGTAAAATGACCAGTATAACATGAAACCTTTGCTATTACACCATCTTCTGGTCAGCCTTGGGAACTGTGAAGAAACGCTTAAACTGAGAAGTTCGGATACTGAGCTCTGAAGAGTTGTCAATGGTTTAAAAATGTATTTTGTTTATACAGACAGAAAGAGCACACATCCAATAACATTTTAGTTTAAGCTATACCATCTTTCCCCTCCTCCAGAAAGCAACTTACCGGAGTACTGAAAGATGAAGAGGAACTAATTTCGATGACAGGCGGGTCAAGTGCTTGTGTATTACTCACAAAGGTAGGGTTGACCTGTTGAAAACAGGTTATAAATATTGTTATTATTTCAGCACTTGTAGATAAAGGGAAATAAGACTGAAATAAAAAGGACTACTTCCTACATTAAAGCACCACTGTTCACTAAGGACTGGAAACAGGTTTTAAAATTTGTAAAACTAAAGGTAGGGTGCTACCCTCAAGCTATGTAAAATACCCTCATATAATAAAGATAATCCAGATGCACATTTATTACAGAAATATAATTTATACTTCATAGGGATCCATCACCCAAAACTAACTCAGGGGATTCCTACCGCAAGAGGTGTGAGCATTAAGAAGTTCAGTTGTATGACAAATCAATAAAAATGAAGTGACAAATGCCAGTTTGAAGTGGATTTACTAAGACAACTAAGTAAAAACCTGCCCAAGGCTGAAGCCATGCAATTAACAGAGTGGTCAATGATGCTGCTGAAATGCTGAACAACAGGAAGTATTCAAACAAATTCCCAACTCTGTCACTTCCAGATGTTTCTGAAAGCTTTTGCACATGCACAACAACTATAAGGGCTCCTGGAAGTCACCTTTGAGTTTTACTTTCCAGCATCCATAACTTGTGGGTATAGTTACAGGCTGTCTTTCCTATCCCTTCCAACCACCAGGACTGTTCCCAGCAGAAGTGATGTACTGCCCTGGGTAACAACTTGAGAGCTGCCTTCTAGCAACGATGCTCAATTAGCTTGTTACAGTCTAAGGACAGCAGGAGCCCTCTGCTTGTGGAGGCTGCTATATACAGCTATGCAGCACTGCTTTATGTTATAGTGGTCCCCTGCCTGTTGTAGTTTACTTAGGGCACATCCTCACTCATGGTCTCATACTGCAGCTTATAAATCCCACTACCATTCAGCCTGAGCTAGGGTCAGCGTGGTTGCAGTCACTCTGGCTCAGTAGTACATAGGAAGGTGTGCACCAAGCCAGCCCAGAAGCCCGAGTTGCCTTACTGGTGTGGGTATATCATCAGCACCAAAGCTGAAAGTGAGCTGAGCACACACTGAGCAGCCCAGATCAATCAATTCCCAGCTCACACTGAAGTTCCACAAATCATCTCTCACAACCAGATTACTGACATGCTTATTTCTTATGTGCCAGCTCAGATTGCCAAAATAGCTTGAAAAAAAACTCTGTTGCAGAAAACAGGTAGGAGGTAGTACTGAAATCTGTGATAAGTTAACGGGCCAAACAAAAATCATGCTGTTCCTAAAAACACAGGGAAAACTGCTTTATACTGGGTTAAAGTCAGAGGCTGATCAAACAAATATGTCATCACAACATTTGCCATTTTGCAATCCTTCTATCACAGTTGGACTACTCATTTATTGCTGGTTATAGGAGCTAATCTATTAACTTTAGCCATATTTTGTTAATGTCCTTTCCTGAAAGTGAAACATTAACATAGGAGACAATAAAGTTCGAGAAAGCTGCTGCTTTTATTTATCTGATGGTTTTACTTAAGTATCAGAATATCACCCCTATAATTTTTTTTTATGTACATCACTACCATAGTATTACCTAGGTGTATCGCAGCCTAATACATTTGCCCTCTCAGCATGATGAGGAATTTGAAGAGTATTTCTGAGTATATAAAATAACAAGAATAATATTTCCAAACTGAAAAAATTGACAGAGGTACTAGATGACTTTCAAATCACCAAGAAGTCTGGTGTAGTAAAAAGAAATGAACTTTTCTCTTTTCAACCTTCTATCAGTAATCCAACAGCAGCCTTACAAGACAGCATTAATTCCAACTTTGAAAGTGAAAAAATAAAGCAAACTCACACTTACCTAGTGACAGGGCTATATTTTAGTTGCTGAAAGTTCACTGGATACAAGGGCCATTTTATTTTGTATTTTCACAGAGAAGGTACCTGCCACTTTACCTGGAGACTGTCAAAACTCTGGCTCAGCCAAAGCTGCTCACTCAGTAACAGCTTCAGTGCTACTTCCACAAACAAAAATCCCTGATGCTAAGGTTCATACACCAAACATAGTTGGAAACTTAACTTTAAAAAACAAGAAAGAAAACATAGAATACTAAAAGGCAAGGTAGAGGGAACTGTCATGTATTAAAGGCTTTCAGAAACACTCTTTCAAAGCATTCCTTTAATTACCTGGTAAACTGATATATAAGTATTTCTGTTATCTTCTTCCAACATGATGCTATAATTAGCACATTTTGATACACACAAGAAAATACATTTGAAGAAAGGTTTCTACAGATCCTTTCATGTAAGGAATTACAGCTTTCTAAAGACTGAAGTAGAGCAAAATCAAAATATATCATTTAAAGAAAAAGTAAGATGCAGGAATTAGGATCCCTGCTTAGGACAGAGAACTAGGGGAGGAACAAAAGAAGCAGGCCCAAGCAAGTATTTGATTCTCAGCAACAGGCTTTAAGTACACTTTTATGCCCCTACAGCTATCCCTGTATTGATTTTAATAAAGTATATCCAACCTCACACACCCCTTTCACTTTACTTTTATAATGCATTTCATAAAATGTTTCAGTTAGATCAAAAACCTAAGAACTAATGAAATTAAAAAAATGAAGTTTTAAATGACTCCTACAAAGTATCTCCTAGGAAAGTGATGTAGCTTGCTGTGAAATAGTCTGTCCAAAGATAAATTTAGCTTTCAATTTGATTAAACACCATTCCCTGTGCTAGACAAGGGCCTTCAAAACAAGCAAGCCGTATACTCTTATTTCTACTGCCACCTAGTGTATATTTGGGTTTCCTTCCTCTAAAAAATATTTACAGCTGAAATCACAATTTTAAGATGAAACTAAATCAAGAGTAGCTTTTCGTGCTCAAGATGGAAACTCTACATATCTTTATATGTTCAAACCTCAATTCTATGTTTTTAAAGGAAATTTATTTCTACCTTCAATCCACTTTAAAGATGTCTCTAGTGCATGGAAGATTAATTATGTACAAACACAGGAAATAAAGAAATACAGCTGGCATCAAGTGGAACACATTTCTTTTGGTATACTGCACTGAAACTGCATTATTGAGTAAATACATACATTATTTTCAAATATCTCCTAAAGCTCCCTGTTTAAAAGGGAGACAATGACTGGGATTTATTTCAGCTAAATTTAGACATACTGCCAAACACCTTTTTTGAGCTGGTCACCTAAGATTACTTCTATGGTCAATGAAAAAAAGTAGGCACCTTCAGGGTCATTTGCTTGTATTTCTAAACTGTTTGAATAATTGTAATGATTTTAAGCTTTAAACCTCTACTTAGTTGAATACTCAAGAATCACATTGCCCAGTGCAGTTCGAGAACATTTGTAAAGATTTATAAGTCAAGAACATGACTGCGTTAAAATTCAGGCTACTGCTGGTCTGAAGAGGAGGAGATACAAATAAGGAATTTCTTATAGAAGTTTGCTTCATATAAAAGTATGCTTCAAAATGCAGGCAGGGAGAGACAAAAAAAATAGAGAAGATGGATCTGTGTATAGCTTCAAAGAGTGAACAGGAGAAGTTTTGAGAAAAGGTGAGAGTACACTGAAGCTCCATGCTTCAGTCACTACCCTGAAGACAAAATACCAGGTGACATCTGTAATTCTTACTGCCCTTTTGCAAGCTGTTTTGTTCAAAGCAACATTGCCAATTGGCAGTATGTGAAAGCACTACAACCGTCTCTCTGAACCTAGCTGAATAAATTCTGAGCAAAGCCAGCTCCATTTTGTGTATACTATTTTCCCAGAATCAAGACCTGGACTAGTAGGGACCTTACCACATTTAGGCAAGCAGGGGTAGAGAATCAGCAACTATCCAAAAGCAGTAAGAAACCTGGAGAGGCATGAAACATTAGGAATTAAAAAAGCATAGACAGAATCACTTCCCTCGAGTTTTGCCTGTACATCTGCTGAACCTCTTGCATTCCACCACTTTGAATTTTTTCCTAAGGCAATCCATCTTCATTCCTGCTATAAAGGTGACTGAACTTAATCAGCTTAGCATAACTCAGGGCAATGTATTATAACAAACCTCAAGTGTCTTGATGACACTGTAATGGCTCGTAGCAAACTTTAAAAGGTCACGTATACTTTTAAGTATGCCGTATCTGAACTGCCTCCTCTGCCTGCCTGTAACTCTTGCATATGTTACCAAGTCTCTTAAAACAGTTACTTCAGTTTAGTTAAGATCAATCATCTTCCCTTGCTCATCATGAAAATGAAAATAAACAGAAAGCAAGCAGTCCTGCATTTTCTCTGAAGTGTAGAGAAGATAACAGGAAAAACTGTGTCATTTCAGTTGCTGCACTGTAATGGAATAGATCACCCAGAGTGACTGGGGGATCTGCATCCCTCTTCAACTAGACATGCTTATTTGAGACCAAGATACCCTACAGGAAATGTGATGTTAACAGAAAACTGAACACAGCAGCCTTTTTTAAAAAAATCCTGAAATCAGACTTGAAAATATACCACAAGTGTCCAAAACATTGCTATGACAAGTGACAAAACCATGAAGCCCTTTCACTACTACAGCAGCTAACTCTGAAGCCTATGAACTGCTACAAAGGTTACAGCCATGAAGAAACAGAGACATTAAAGTGAAATCTGTTAAAGCTAATTGATAAATAATTTCTTGACCTTCAACTATCAAGTTTTCTTTATGTACCCTTTCAGTATTGGTAATGAGGTGCTTCCTAGCCTTAGTTTAATTTTAGCCAGAATTCATTAACACTTTTCCAGAGCTTCTCAATTAACCTGGGACCAGGGACAAGAACAGAAAATATCTGGAAAATTGCTTAGAAAACATTTGTATCTTTGCCAAGCATCTGAACAGAAGAAGTCTGGAAAAGCTGATCTGAAAAGAAAGCAACAACCCCTGCAGCCAAAAACTACTGTCATTTTTTAGCATGTTTTATAAGTGGCTGCAGTTTGAACATGCCTTGAAACAAGCTATTGATGCAGCAAGAGTAGTTTAAATCTGCTGGCAGATGAGTTTAAATCTGCTGGCAGATTGAGTCTGTTCTAGCACTGACCACCTATACTGAAGGCTACTAATCAGTAAACTTCATTCATTGTCCTTACAATGGTCTGACACAGAAGTTTATGAAGTTTGTCATACATGCAGTTGTCCTGCTCTTCTTCTGACCAAAACGTTAATCATCAGAAAGCTTCACATCCAACTTGACAACAGAATCAGACACATGAGAATAGTTAAGTGATGGATTCTATCAGGGTTCCCCTCCTCCACAAAAATATTTTCAAACTTTATAATACTCATACTGCATATATTCATATTGCACACAGACAAGAAATACAGAAAAAAGCTCAGTATCCTCAAATCTCAATTTTTTAAGTCTGAGCAGGAAACAAAATGCCATTGCACAAATATCTGCATTTTATATGAACAAATCCAGGTTATGGTGAATGTCTGTAGTACTTTCTTGGTGTATGACAAAACCCAAAAAGTTCCTAGATTTATATCAGACAGAGCTCTTGAACATCAGAGGCACCTGGAGAATATCAAAGAAGAGGTAAAAGTATAGGTAATCACCATGCAGAAGCTAGCCAGATCTACTAAGAACAGTCACAAGTTCATCCCTGGGGTTTTAGCACAAACAATGGTATTATCTAAGGCACAGTACTGTTTACCTACTTAGTACAGCTTTCACAACAAACACAGGATTTTCCAAATATTGACACAGAATATTTGACATTTCACTTTAGTTTCCCAATACCCAATACTTTCAAGGGTTACTGGTAGAAGGTTTGACAGTAAAGTAGCCAAAGAATTAAATTATAAGGAAATCAGACTACACAGTGACATAACATACACTACTAGCCAAGAAAGGCCTTCTAAACTTTTAGATAGATATCAAGATCTTCTCAAGACTATAAAGGTCTTGGAAAGAGGGCAAACTTCTGATAATCAAGTATTTGACTTTCAGTAATAATGCCACCTTGTCCTGCTTATGAAATATTTCAAGTAGTATCTTAAAGCTCAAAAATTCAGGTACCTTCTGCAACAGTTGGCATGTTACTTCAGGAACCAGACTATCAGCTACATTTCATTTAAATTAGAGTACAGACTTACACAAGAAGTATGAAAGGAATTCATCAGGATAAATCTGACAGCATCAGACAGCCTAGTAACTTATGTATCCACATTAAGGTTATGTGCAATACTTTGGAGGCAACCATAACAACAAAAAGCTCTCTGGTATACACAGAACATATTTAACTATAAATATGTTTATTTAGATAGTGTTTACAAAGCTTCTGGTTTCCTGTATTTGAGTCCTTATTGCACTTACCTCAACTGACTGAATTTTTTCACCATGGAGATGAGGTGACCTTGGGTAAATATCAAGAAGATGAGGAGGATCATCAAGATTTGTTCTTCTAATATGGTGTTTAAGAACTTCTTTATGATCCCAAGAATCAAAGTTGGTTTTCCATAGTAATACCTGTAAGGAGCTGTCATATTAGTAACTACTTGAAACTTATTCAGTGACCAAACCATAACTATTCAGCAAAGTCTGTTATTACTGATAGATCACAACATCAGAATGAGCCTGCTATCACCATTTAGTCTATCTTTACTACAACACAGGCAGCTCCCCAAAGTATCCTGTGCTTCAAGCCTAACAAATTTAGTTTAATCTATTTAAATATATATATATCTAAAATATGTCTCAATGCTCATGAAACAAAGCAAACTTCTGTCCCACTGAACTGTACAGTTATTTTTTCTGCCAAATCAAGGGATCATAGACTATCAATTTTCTTTCCACTTTAAAAACTTGCAGGTCAAACAAGAAAGTTTGAGGGCATAAGAGAAATTATAGAGTTCCATACAACTCTAAAGCACTTTGTTCCAGCGTTTCAGCAAAAGGAATCCGTTTTCTCAATTTTGTTCAATTACATTCAAGGTAGAAACAACATACAGTCAGATACACCCAGTGCAGTTCAAAACGCCTAAAAGATGGCAGTTTCCAAAAATATTGATTTTTACAGCTACTCTCTAAATTAGAGGGGACAAATGTGAGATCACAATGAGACTTAAAACTGTCCAGCCAAAAATATTTTTGACAATCATTACAAATATTTTCCAGAAATTAATAAACTAGACATAAGCAACAGAAATCACAGATTTGTCACAGAAATTCCAAGTGACTAAATCATATTCTTAATATATTCCTAAGTAGTTTCACTGTTACAAGTTCATTTCAGGTTCAACATTTTCATGACCCTTGAGTGGAGGACCCTAAATACACACTGGGAGACACAGTGCACCTATAAAAATGGGCCCAAACTATCTCAGACATTAGCACCAGTGAAAGTAGGATGCATGGATCTCAGTACAAACTATTCAAACCTGCCTCAGAGCCTGGAACAGGTAGGTGTTAGGTTAGTTCATTCCCAGCAGCTCACTGTGCTCACTCACAGCTCATTCCTTAACTGTGTAGTTCCACTACCTCCATCGCCCAGTCCACCATAAAGTTATTCACATTTTGATGTGGATTTACCCCATTTTTTCAGGCTAACTTTTGGCTGATTTAGCAATTAGAACTTTCCTCAGCGCTGACTGTAAACAAGGGTATAGGCAGCTATAGGCAGGTAGGACCTTTCATCAGTGAGGAACATTTGAGCTGCTCAAGCCAAGAAGTGTGATGAACATGAACTTCAGAGCTCTACATGCTTGAGTTTTTCTGATTGAGGAAAGAAACAGGAAGAAACAGTGCTTGTTTCAAATACTTAACATGCTTCTGAGCAAAGCCTTCAGCTGGCTCTGCACCAACCAGAAAGAAACTTGAAACTAGAAGCAGAGATACTGGTTTTCCTTCTTTCATGAGTAATAACAGATTTTATCTGTTGTTTGAAAATGTAATAGTCTTCAAATAATAGCTCAATTCTATCACAGCGAGTTGAGAGAAAGTCCCACAACTATTTTCCTGTCAGGCCTGGGAGAGGACTGTGGATGGGTCAGCAAAAAAAGTATGTTTGTGGAGTACATGTGTGCATACACCAATAGAAAATTGACGCTGAGGAATAAAGTTCTTATGTTTACTATATATAAAAATATATACATAGATAGTTACCACATAATTGTTAGCACTGCACATTTTAAAACTTACAATACAAAATTACGACAAAAGTGACACCAAAATAAGCAGCCCTCTCCCACCGGAATGCTCACAGGAAAATGAGGCAAAACTTCAACAGATAAAAATATGCCTTTCTGTAAGGTAAATAAACCCAGGATCCACTATTAGACCTTCTAAGACCTGGCTACTTTTTTAATTCAACATTTGCTTTAATAAAGCACTTCCTGATGAAACTGGATCTTCCCTATCATGCATTCAGCATGAAACCACTACACTGAACTGCTGAGAAATGTGAGTCATCTTACAGATTTTGGACTATAATGCCCACTCACCCCAAGATCCCACATACCAGCTTTACAGCATGGATTCAGAGCAGGAGAAAGGCAATGACATGACTCCACTGAATATGCATGTCATTCAGGGGATCCCAAATACAAAGGAACCTTGCAGTAAGACAGGCACTCCTAGGGTATGTTGGCATTTATTTCAGAGATTGAGTCAGGTTTAATACTGTAGGTCCCTTCCATCATCATGGCTTCTCAAATGGATCTTCTGTCATGTGGCCTAGTTTAATACATGCACTTCACTTCCTCCCAAGTATAATTGTCATAATACTAATTGTCATAAAACTCAAAAGTGAGTATTCATGAGAAGTAAGGCAAGCAATTCAGAATTACTTAGGAATCAAAGCTTCTTTCTGAAACTGAAAAATTCTCATTAAAAACAAAAAAAACACTAAAAAAACAACCAAAACCCAAACCCTTTGGTACAGAAAATAAAAGATCAGACTAGCGGCTCAAGGAGTAAATACCTTTCCTCCATTCTTGGTATTTTTTTCTGCTTGTAAAATTAATATTGAAAGTTTGCTAATGTTTTCACTTTTTCAATAACTGCAAGTCTTGCACTGCTTCTTACTAACACTTTGTGATAGAAAGCAATTTTATTTTATTTTGAGTGCTTTCAATTCATTCTAGAAAGTGTGCTGCCTGAAATGACAAGTAAAAAACCAGAAACAGACTGTATTGTAATGATAATAAGGTTTTTAATTGAAAAGTATTTATTATATCTCAAGACTGACTCTGTCAGTAGCTGAAACATATTTCAAACTCCACAAAACAATATAAATATGACCTATAGTAAATTCAGAAGATTTTCATTTCTACGGTGTGGCTTTTAGCTTTTCGTAACAGGAAACAATGAAAAAGACAACTAATATTAAAAAACATTCAGACTGAAACTCTAAGCCTTTGGCTACAAAAGTTTTTTCTCTTTGGGGAATGTAAAGACCTGAGATGACTTCGAGCTTGATAGTATTTTTGTAATTATGAGATTTATAACAGCAGATGAAGATTAATTGTATGATTTGCTGTTTAACTTGTTTTGTTTTAAATGCTCAAACAACTCTTCCCTGTATGAAATCTAATACTTTGCTAATTTGTATTAGTGAAATCACAAAGCCAACAATTTCCTGAATTTTAGCAAAGTTTTCCCAGTAGTACAACTTAATACTCACAGAGTAGTGACTTTAAAAGAACTAAAAACCTAACAGAGAGAGTAGGCTTTAATGCTAGTTGCAATACTTTGTTGACACTGAATTGTGACACTTAAAATATTTCTGTTTTAAAACCACTCCTTTATTTTAATATATAGAACAGAAGTATTCAGTATTACGGTCATCTCATCATAACATCCAGTTGGAAGTCTACATAAAATGCTGCCAGACAAAATACAGGTCAGCATGCTGTAATTAGCATGGTACTGTGACATACTACATTTAACTCCCACTCACTGTAACAAACATTACAACAATTAAAGAGACAATACCACAGACCTGAGCATCTGCTCCACCTGAGGCAAATTTTTCACCTTTTTTTGAAAAAGCCACAGAAAGTACAGGTCCCTGAAAGAAAAAAAAAACCACGTATACAGTAAAGGTATGCTATTCCTGTAATCATGGTATTTTGATGTAATGAGAAAAAAGACTTATGCCATTATCTAATATAAATAAATTTTTTAATTTTAATAAAGGAACAATCTAACTGGAGTGAACTTTTCACAAAACAACTTGACCGAAGAGTTGCTACTGCCTACCTTTGAAAGATGCTGTATTACAATTACTACAATCAATTCTAAGAAAACAGTGGCATTTTCCTTAGATTTTATGCTTTAACTCTGCAATGAGTTATCAACGTGTTTCAGGGATTCATTATCAAAAGTAGGGTTTTGCATTAAAAAGTAAGGGAGAAAACATCTGCTATTCTTCATAAAACTTCTTTTCCATAAGCCTCCTTGTTCTTAGTGCTATTTTTCAATAGACGACTACTGTGAAAAATAATTGATTTTGACAATCAAGAATTAATTCAGAATGCAATATATTACTTAACATTAAGCATGTATAAAATATTGACAGATTAACTGCACAGTCATAGGTAAAACCGATGCATTTCTTCATGCACTTGTGATTAAAGTGTATTAATACAACACTATGCTGTCCACTGAAGTGCAGGATACAAGACACAATGGCATAGGTGTTACCTTCCCTTTGAAAAGATACCAAATAATCTATTAAGGTCTCCATTTAAATAGAATTATTGAGTATACCTTGTGTCCATGAAGAGTGTAAATAAGCCTTCCTTCTAACACGTCCAAAATCTTAAGGGTACCATCATCAGAAGCAGTGATGAGATAGTTACCAGAAGGATGGAATGATATACAGTTAACTCCTGCTCTGTGAACTAATTTACAGAAGACAATATTCAAAGACTGTAGATACCTACTAACAGGAAATGTAGACTTTATTTCTTTGCTCTCTTCTACTTCCCAATGAAGAAACTAGATAACTTAAGAGAAAAACAACCAAAGTGCTGGGGCATAGCACTCTCCAAAGTAATTGATTAGTTCTGTTCTAAGAATTAAGAAAATCACTACAAAGGAATAATCACAATTTAAACTGGATTTTTAGGGTTTCCAGACTACAGAAAGATTATTTACAATACGACTTGTTTCTCTATTTTCCCCATTAAGGAATAAGATCGTATAATCTAAATAAATCACATTTAATTGCACAGAGCTCCACTGTTTTTACCTTTGTAATGCTGCAGTAGCTTGTTCATTCGAATATCCCACAGTCTCACTGCATGATTGGAACCAGCAGAAGCTATACACGTACCACTTGGGTTGAAATCCACAAAATTTGCAAATCTAAATACAATTAACAAAAACAGATTAATTGCATGTTTCCATAGAAATACGGGGGGGGGGGGGGGGGCAGTGTGTATACATATGCACACACACATGCATATATAATTTTTTTATACACACACACACACCCCCCACAGTATTAACAATGAGTTGCCACAGATTTGTGTGAAATCAAATAAGGTATTTTAAGCAACTGAAATTAGCATAAGGAAACAAGATGTGCATGAAAAGCCAGGTTATACAGTCTGATTTATGTTAAAAAGCTAGTATAATCATTCTGACTCAAATTTTCACAGGTCGTGTTGGAGTACAAATCACCTAGAAGGAAGTGCTGCAAAGAGTTTGTAAGCAAAAAGTAAAATAATTTTGCCTAAGAACAGAATATCTAGCTATAACAATCTTTTAGACTAGAAAAAAGATAGTTTTCTGCAGCTCTTTGTTCATGAGAAGGCAGTCATGAAAATAGAGAAGTAAATATAAAAGACTTATATTCTGTTGCCTTTGTTAATTAAAACTCTGGCTCTAAGATGCTTAAGAAAACTACAGATAAGTAAAAGCAATTGTTTTCTAAACCTAAATAAGGCAGGTCACTGAAGCTAACCTAACACTGTCTCCATCAACAAGCGAAGAATTCTTAAAATTCTCTTCCTCTTGAAGCACCCAGTATCAAAAAGCATTATGAAAACAAAGCAAAAACATGAAAACCTTCAAAAATCCAAGAACAATCTGACTTCCCTCTGGCTTATTTCTTGACTATTGGAAAACAGCTAGTTAAACTCTTTAGAAAATGTGATATGAATTATTTTAGTTTACATGGGTGGCAGAAGGTCGATCTATTTTCAGACATAACATATATAGATGTTGACATCACAAAGCATGAACTAAATCTCATGAAAATTACACCCTTTCATTTCTCCTTTTTGCTAGTAACACTTACCCTTCATAATCCAAGAGGCTCTCAATACAAGTTTTATTTCTTGTATCCCAGATCTTAACAGATTTATCCTCACTGCAAGATGCTATTAGTCTTCCATCAGGTGAAAATCTGGAGCATACAAGTGTGTACGTTACTACACAACTGATACTACCTAGATTAGAATTAGAGACATAAGTTCCAAAACACCAGAATCAAGAAAGCCCATTTGGAATAAAAATGTGTAACATTTAAAGGACATTTGAATTTCTCATATTTGTCATGGAGTAACAAAACTGAAAACAAAAGCTTCTCTCCCCTACTCCTCCCCCCTTCGTTTCACAATCAACTACAGATAAAAACAGAGCCCTAAGCAGAGAGGGTGGGGTGGGCTGTAGAGAGGGGTGGGTAACAGCAGCCTAAGGTTCTCACTTCAACTGCAAAGAGATTGTTATAGAAAACCATAAGCAAAAAAAGACAAAGAGGACACAGTAAAACCTCGTGTTCCAATTTTAACCTACATATACCTGTGAGTTCTCTCTGGACCTACAAACTATCAGCAAAACATTCATGATTATTCCTAGACTAGCAGACTAGGTCTTTAAACAAGAAAATCAATTTGTGTTAACTTCACCAACCATTATTATTTCTTATAGAGAGCAACTGCACAAGGACATTAGAACACAGTTCAAGAACTTTTACATCCAATTTCCTAGTGCTTTTAATTTTAAACAATCAGATACTTCAGAACTTTGTAGGGTTTTGCACTCCACTAGTGTTACATTTCTTTCTCAATATGTTTAAATCACGCCCCTCCTAGCTGCAGATTTTCCACTAATATGGAGGGGGAAAAATAATTAAACTCAAAGAACAATCTTTTCTTGTCTTTGAAGAGCTGCCCTGCCTTTAAATAGAGTGCAAATCTTAACTTGCAGTACAAAGGCCATTTACTTTACCTTTTCCAGCTACGTAAACTTAACTCATTGTGACTCATGACCATTCCTTTATACTGCTATGTTCCAAGAATAGTTGAGAAAACCCCTACTGCACATAATACATCTAAAAACAAGTGAATCTGTGAAATGAGTTAATACAGCACAGAAGCATACAAGACTGCAGAAAGACAGGATACAGACTAAAAATGAATACAGAAGACCTTATTTGTCCTTTAAAGTTAAAGGATTAACACCCAGCAACAGATTTAACATGTAGACATATTAACACATAGAGCAAGCTTTTGGACTTCAACCAGGAGATAGACAGACAGACAGACAGACAGATAGATAGATAAACACGTGTGCATACAACTGATTTATTTAAATGTCATTATTAGTGATAAATCATCGTTTATCATTCACAGATTTTTCTTCTCTTAGTTCTGTCCTGGGAAATAAAACCCCTTTGCTAGTAGTTCTGCTTCTTTACAAAGACAATAAAAACAACACTTACTTGGCACAGCAAACCCAGTGAGTGTGTTGGAATAGGGAAAACAAAAGGCATGGATGGCAAACACTCCATATTTTTATTGATTTATCATTGGATGCTGAAACTAGAAAGTGGCCATCCTGAGAGAAGCTCACACTACGAACAGACGCTGTATGACCTTTCAGGACCGATGATTCTCCATGACTAGTGGGGGAAAAAAAAACAAAACCCAAGACACAAACTACAATTATATTGAACTGACTGAAACCCCATAAGACTCAAAGTTAATATATTTGGCATCTTATGCAAACGAAAAACCAATGTATACAGCTTTAATCTTAGTTCTGCCAATATTTTTGCCTTATTTGAATATTAATTATTAGAATAACAGACATCAAAGTAATTGTATGACCAATTTTGGAGAATGGTGCAATTCACTAGCAACATTAGCTTCCATACTTGTTTATGCTCCCTAATGTCTGTTTCTGTCAAAGCCCAAGGATGCGGGAAGAAGACAGAAACTTTTCTTGGGTAAAGAGTCAATTATTCATATTGCACTTTAATGAAACACATAGCCAGCATTGACTAGTTATACTCACATGCAAGGAATCCATAGTCTGACAGTACGATCCCGAGAAGCTGAAGCAAGCAGCTGCCCATCCGGCGAGTACTGTATGCTGGTCACTGCTTCTGCATGGCCTACAAATCTGTAAGCTCTGCATTGGGCCTTCAGCCTCCACACCATAAGAAACCTATCCAAAGAGGAGGTAGCTGGCAAGAAATTAAAGATACTATAAGTCTGCTCGCTCTTTATGGAAAAATCAGGGCTAATGCCTACAGATTTGGAATACCCAGTGAATTGACTGGGTATTAAGGGGAGGAAGCAGTTACTGTGTTTTAATAGATACTTGGCCAAAGTAGCAGCCAGGCAGCCAGCAATGCCAACACCAGGCCTTTGGAGGGATATCAGAAGACAGGGAGGAGTAAAGGACAATCCTTAACAAGTGGCTCTCCCATATGTTAGGCAAACTGGCTTACAAGTACTTTAAAGATATAGAACAAAAAAATACAAAGCAGAACATCATGCACATGTAATTAAGTATGAATTCAGATTTAGCATTACCAAATATTAAGAACAGACAAGTTCTTCATGATCTCAGTTTGATCTCCAAAACGGAATTTGTTTCAAGCATCAAATGTTTAACTTTGGAAAGACAAGCCAACTGAAATTCAAGATACCACTTCTGACACTTCAGATTTCTATACAGAAGTGAATATCCAAATTCTATAATCCTATTTTAGTACCAATTTTTTATACTAACATTTGTCTAGTTCAAAACACAGTATAAAGTTGTCAGTCTAATAACAGAAATTTTTCAGTCACTGTACAAGTGGACCATACTATCTGCATTTGAGAAGGCAGGCACAGCTTTTACCAGAGCTCGATCATTTTCAGGAAGCTATAAGCAGCAATAACAATGAGCAGTTCAATTAAACTGACGAGCATGATATTTCTACACCCCTATTATCTTCATCTGTGCCAAGTGCTAGCATGCAGGACAAGTAAAAACAAGGGATTCTCACTCTCACCACTGTTATAAAATCCCTACCTCTAGTACAGAAACGGATGCAGAGGAAGAACAGTAACCGCCTGGAAGTTGAAGAGGACATTAAAATGATGGCTTTTTCTCTTCCCACCCTCTTTCAGGAACCAACACAGCACACCGGAATTAAGTTTGTTTATTAGCATATGTGTCAAGGCAAGCCTCAAACGAAATATTAGGTATTAAACTCTTCAGGGATTTGGCACAGAGATACTATTTTTACTCCCCAAAGACTAGCTTCTGGTAAAATATATGGGCATGGAGAGAGTCTGGACCCACATCAATAAGGCTAAATTTGACACAGAAGTACAGGATATTTCTCCCCTCCAACTTTTCAGAACTCTATTTTACAGCAGGCTCCTTATAATTGTACTTGAATGATTTCTTTCTCCCCTTTGATTCACAAAAACATGACCTAGAGTTGCATAAAACAGAAAGGAAGAAGTGAAATGTAAGCTAAAGAGAATTTGAAGGCATCAGGTTGGAAATGTGGAACGCACAAGATTAATGGTTTCCAAAACAAATGATGCATGAACTTCCAAGTACCTGTGGTACCTTATGAACTGCATGAAGGCAATGTAATACTAACCCTCTTTGCTTTCAGTTCCAAAAACTAGAGGAAAACATCTTCCTTGCTCTCCCTCTGGGCTCCCTGTTGCCTAGGCTCATGCAGCATTCCCTCTCCATCCTTAGGCAGGTTTCTTTCTTGAAACCACCTGCTCAGTGACACTCAAAGACTAGTATCTCCGATACTGCAGTTCCAGTCCAACTGACCGCAGTCCAGGGGTGACGGAAGACAGAAGGGTGCTGCACAGGAAAGAGGGAATAACTGACAGACCTGTTGCGGAATTATTTTCCTGAGGCACATGGGCTGATATGACTGTATCTGTACCCCTCTCTCATGTTGTTAATCCAGACAAAGGAAGTCTAAAACAAAACTCTGAATCTATATTCAACTTTTGCCCTATCCTGCCAGGGAAACAAGGACCCTTTACCCTTAACAAGCCTCAGCCAAGACAAGCTATACCCCCCTTCAAGTAGGCTGAAATCCATTTTGATGCATATGGCTAATGCCTAAGTATTGTACTGTAACAGCAAATATTTTATCTTAGCTAACCGTAGGCACTAAATTATATGGGACAATAATGCTGCCAGCGGTCATTTCCATTATCAATACTGATCTTAAAAACAGTTGTATTCATGAAAAATACACTATTACTATTATTAAATAAACTTCTCTGTTTCTCTTTTTATTCCATTTTAAGAGCTTTTCCCTACTTACAGCAATGCTTGCTTCCCCAGTTTTCTCAAGCAGAGTATCTTAAGGATTGCTCCTCAATCCTTTATGCATTTTTCTTGAGTTCACGTTGTCTATGCATTTAAATGTTCAAAAGGAGTAGAACAAGGACCATCCAGGGCAGATTTCACATGAGATCTTACAGCAGTGCAGATCAGATCCAGTTGATGAGCTGCCAGTGCCTGCTAAGTACACCACCAACCTACAGTCCAACTTTCAATTACCAGACCACCAGTAAATGGTCCACAACAGATCTTCAGGGCTAATTTAAAGTACTGGAATTGAAACAAAAGAAACAGGTTCAGAAGAATTTCTTTAGGATGGGCCATACCACAAATGGGTCTGTTGCACTTGCTCCTCGGAGAAACCACGACATAACTAGAATCAAGTTTACAGCAAAGACAAATTGTCTTTCACCTCTAGTAATGAAAATATTTGATCAACTGCAAAACATAACTAGAAAGCAAGCTGAAAAGTCTGAGCTGACTCCAATTTAAAATGTAATCTATTTTATAAACTCAGTGCCTTTCTCCCCACCCCCCTGCCACTCTTTCTTAAAGTCAGGGTTTTCTGTACACACCCAAGTATAGTTGACGCATCAGTAGCTAATTTGTTTTTCTGGTGATAAGTCATAACAGAATTGAACACCAAAGAATAGCCTTAGCCTTATGCAAAGGCCAAGTTTGCGCATGGCTTTGCTGCGGTTCTTTAAACAGGTATCTGGGCTTCGTATATGCCATGAAAAAAAAAATTATGGTATTAGCAGTGAAACAAAGTTCAATTTATAAGTTGTGAATACTGATGGCATACATTTTCAGATGTACACATGTACATACAAAGACACAAGTTGCCACAATATAGAATTATCATTACACCCCCATTTCTCACAATGCCACACAGTACTGACTATATGAAAGCTGCACACAGATCAGAAGAGACATACTCAGCCAGGCTTTAACAGCTAAATGTACCTCTTGGTCACCCTTTTTCCATAGCAAAATACTGATACACTCCAATATAATTAACCCTGTGCAAGAATTACAGGTCAGATGCAGTACAAGACTGTGTAAGTGATGTATGTGTGTAAATATTCAACCACCACCACCAATCCAAAACACACATTTAACAGGAACTCTGCAAATCTCAGTGTGATAAGGTGTAATGTCCCAGTACAAACACATTTAATAGTGATTTGCAAGATTTCCTACTTGGAGGAAAACAATTACTAATTGAACCTCTATCAAAGGAGCCAATCTGGAATAGTAAGCACAGTGGATAAATTACAAGGAACTTTTAATAAACTCCTGTAACTTCAAGTTCATAGCCATTTCTATTTTACGCTGAATGTAGTTACACAGGTGGAAGAGAACTGAAAAGAGTCAGCATGATAGCCAACATTTAATTATCATTCTGAATTTTATTTATTTTTTCAAAAGAAACTCCAAAACCCTCCCACATTTATTCAGTGTTAAGTTTATATTCAATTTATTTTAAGTCACTTAAAATCAGTAGTTTAAAATATATACAAGTGTTTCCAAAATTTTCAAAGTCTTAACAGAATAGAAAATCTTTCACAGTTTCAGATTTTCCAGAAATATGTACACATGTAAAACAACTGGACTGGAGCATTTCTGTAGAATTGCTGCAGCTAGGTTCAGAACTAATGGAACTTGAAATGTTAAGGTCAAGAGGCAGATTTACTTAGAATTATTGCTTAAATAGATAAGGAACACTTTGAATGTCAGCTGTTACATGAAGGTAGCTCTTCATATGAAATGTAGTTTTTGCCAAGTGCTAAAAAAGTTAATTGTATAAACATTGCATAGTTTATATTCACACCGTTTAATTACTTTCATCTGAGGAAACATGGACTGCACATACAACTTATGCTCTGCCATGTAGGAGAACCCAGGCCTTTTTCCTGTCATGTCTATTGAGTGTAACAGTCTACAGCAAGCTTTCCACAAAAGCACATAGTTTATGTAATTCATTGCCCCCAGTACACAATGACTGGCTGCCTTTTAAAATTTGATAAATGGTTCATAACTTGTAGGTCCACAAAAGAATTCCTTGCTACAGAGCAGAATGGAATTTTTCAGGAATGCCTCCCTTATATGGTAAAGAGATTCCCTTTAAAAAAAAAAAAAAAAATCAAACTGCAAGTAACCTCCTAAAAATAAGTTATCAACTTAAAAAGCTCATGCCACACAGTGGAGAGCATTTTTTTACCAAGATTCAATGCTACCTCTAAATTTTCTTCTTGTTCTCCTCCTACCTTAGCCTGCTTTCACCCAAACCTCTCAACTCTTTAAAACCATCTGAATTTACTGCTGCTTTACTCTTTTTGGAAAATCTTCATTTATTCCATGTCTCACTTCTCCCTTTTAACCCTTCTACCTACTAAGACCTGCAGCAAACGCACACCTACTACCTTCCTGGAGTATTCAGATTCTTATGCATACTAGCTCAAGTTGCTACCTACCAGTCCTATGTCAAGAGCTATTACACTGTGGCTACTGAAGAACATTAATCACTTCAGTGAAAAGTAATCAAAAAAGCTGGAATGCCCAAAATATGAAGGCGTTCAACTTGAATCACATAAAGCTAAAACACACAGATACTAGCTAACACAAGATTTTTAATTCTCCAAGTACACAACATATTGATTCCATCTACGGGCTATAACCACACTCAAACAGATTAGTGACACAATTCAAGAACCAATATTCCTCAAAAGTCAGCGTAACAGTGTACAGAAAACATTCTAAATAAGTTGCTCTTTGAACCACCAAACTGACAAATCTTGGTTTGCTCCAAGCTGCCCTTTGTCTTTTCAACTCCCCTCATTTCAGGACCTTCAGCTTCCCAGCCTCCCTCAAGGCCTTCCATGGTACTGTTGCAACTAGAAAGAGGTGGCATATGCCGTGTTATTTCAAAACTCCACCTAAAGCTGATGCCAAAATATATAACGCAAAACAAAACCATCCAAGTTTTCTTCTGTCTCCTTCCTCTACCTCACTAACAGACAAAAAGAGTATACATGATATAGTCACAGAATCATAAAATAGTTAAGGATTCAAAAGGACCTTAAAGAACATCTAGTTCCAAACCCCCTGCCACAAGCAGGGACACCTTCCACTAGACCAGGTTGCTCAAAGCCCAGTCCAATCTTAGTCACATAAGCTATGTGTCCCTAGGATGCCAGGCTTAACATGGGAAAGCTTACACAAAGGCAACATAAATGTTAAATATATAGCCAAGAAACAGCAGGAGCTAATGCAGTTCTGTGCTTGTTTTCTTTTGTCAACTTTAGACAGAATTCTTATTTGCAGTCATCCCTATTTCTTACCATTTGTAGTACCACCAGCATGCCCTTGGTTCCACTGCTACCACATTTTTCTATGTTTTCCAGAACAGGTGCATGACTGCAAAGCAGTGCCAAAGCCCATCTACTAAAAAAGCCTTCCTTTTCTTCATTGCAGTATAGCTAGCAGTCACTTTGAAACCCTTAAGAGCATGTAAACTCCCAGAAAACTGCAGGATACAAAAAAGGCTCAAAGGTCAACTTTCTACATCAATGTTGGTTCAATTGCATGCTACTGTAGCATTACTTGGGGTATTAGACACATATGTTATCATGTACCTGCAACACAGGTCAGTTAATTCCACCTCAAAAACCTGAACTTCTGGTAAGTAAAGATTCTTTACTTTCATGTAACATTAAACCTACAAGGTAATGTGCATAATTTTTTTTAAGAATTAAAATCCCTCCTCAGTCCATTCAAAAGCCCTTGTTTTACCATAATCAAGACAAAGTAAGAAAACAATAGATCAAAATTTCACAAAACCAAAAGGCATTAGATCTGTATTCAGTGATTTAGAAACTAAACCCCAGTATTTACTTCTGCTTTCCACACAGTTCACCACAGAAAATATATTTTTTACACCACTACAAACACGTAGTGTGTAATGTCTTCAGATGTGAAGTTCAGTTATGAAGTCATAACTGTATACCTTGGAATACAACCAAAATTGCTATCTGCTCACACACATAAACCCCCTGGAGATTACAGTCCATTCAATTTGTACTACCAGCAGTGATCATTTCTCAAATTTCCAAATCTGATTTTTATCGGCAGCATTACAAGTTCTCATTTGCACATCAGCACGCCCCTCAGTCGTACGATAAGCAGTAAGGCACTTCCCTGAATGAGGATGATAAATAGTCCCATCTTCTTTGAAATGCCATATAATAATTTCTGGGACAGGAGAGCCATCTTTTGGGCAGCTTCTCATGCCTATGAAATCTTCATGCTCAGGGACTTCAGCACATAGCTCAGTTACAGAGTTAAATCTGATCTCCTTATTTGATGTGTATTCAAAAAATTGATTGCCTCCCTGACCATGACATCCAAAGAGAGAAAGGTGAGCCCCAGTAGGATTATGTTCTGGTAAGACATAGTCAAGGCATTCTGAAGCTATCCCCGTGCTGCGGATAGCACCATGCCAGCCAGGACGATCTTCTGGTACATGCAACTCAGCAAATACGTTCTTTAAATACCAGTTAAAACTCTTGCATTTCAAACGCTCTCTTAGTATCTTTCTTTCAGAAATATCCCCATAGTTTTCTTTTCTTGCTGAAGGGTTTCTGTTGTAGAAGTGTTCTTTGTACTCATCCATCCACACCTCAGCAGCACGTGCTGTGTTCTGAAGGAAATTCGGTCTAGCATAGGGTGCACGCTTTGGAAACACATGACCTACATGGGAGCATGGATGAATTTCCAACATGCCTCCACACTGCCAAACTCTAAATGACAGTTCTAAGTTCTCCCCTCCCCAGACATCCATTCCTGTATCGTAGGTACCCAGATACTCAAAATACTTCTTGCTGACAGCAAACAAGCCACCAGCCATAGTTGGGGATCTGATTGGGTCAGTTTCAGATTTGCGCCTGAGACGCTCATGTTTAGGCACTGAGTGCCACTGGAATGTCAGACGCCAGTCAAACCCTCCAATCATGGGCTCTGCTGTCTGCATGTAGTATTCAAATGTTTTCCAGTCAATGGTGTCAATGACAGGACAAACAATAACAGTCTCGTTCTCAGCAATCCTCTCAAGCAGTGGTTCCAGCCAGCCAGACACACATTCACAGTGACAGTCTAGAAACGTGAGGACATCACCAGTTGCAAAGGTAGCGCCAATTAAGCGTGCACGAACCAATCCTTCTCGTTTGTTGGTTCTTATCAAACGGACTCTTTTCAGAGTGCTTATGTATTTTTCAAGTTCAGTCTTCAAATACACCTTATCACTCAAGTCATCTACCAGTATAATCTCTTTTAGAAGCACCGAAGGTGATGTTTCAAGAACACTATGTATTGTCCGCAGCAACGTTGACCAGGCTTCATTGTAAAAAGCGATTATAACAGATGTTGTGGGAAGTTTTCTGTAGTTGTAAGACTTAGTTTTACACCCATTCAGCCGATTATCTTCAATGTGCCGGTGGAGAGAGATTTTATCACTCAAATAAATATTAATGGCATACTTCTCAATCAGATCTTCTTCCTGTTTCTTTTCCTCAGGACTCAGCTGCAGGCGAGAGGGCTTGCCCCATTCTCCTGGGGCATAAGGATCAGGCGCGGATTTGTCATAAACTGGGCGAGCCAAATCCACAGCTTCTTCTGCTCTGTCAGAAAAGCGCCTCTCCCATTTCCCTTTGGTGATGCTCTCCCCGGCGAGAGAAGCACCGAAGGAAGAAACCGACAGCTCGACCACAAAGTAAGCGACCATCAAGAAGCCAAGAAACACGCAGCTTTTGCGGACCCACGTCCATCTTCTCGCCAGACGGATCCTCATGGTAGGCGATTAACAGCAGCTCCTAGTAGAGAGGAGCTCCGTGAACTAGCGCCGGCTCCCCGCCGCGCCCCCAGGACGGAGCGGGCTGCAGCTCTGGGCTCCTCCCTCCTTCGCAGCCCGTTCCTCCGGTGCCGGGCCCACAGCTTTCCCGGGGTACCGCGGCGGGACCGGGACAGCAGCAGCGGCGGGGGGGGGCGGCACGAAGCAGCCCCCCGCCCCTCCGGGCTCGGCCCTCCCCTCACTTACTTCCTCCTCCTCCTCTCTCGCCGCGGGACAAACCCCTCCTCCCGCCTTGTGGTTTGCTCTAGAAGTTGTCGCTTAAGGAAGGGGCAGAGACTCCTCGGCCCGCCCGGCCGGCGGGGGAGCCCGCCCAGCCCCCATCCCGGACCTGCGCCCGGAACTGCCCGGCGCCTCCGGGCTGGAAGGAGGGGGAGAAGGAGGAAGGAGAAAGCGAACTGCTCCGCTCTGAAAGATAAACAGCGCCCGGCCCTCAGCACTCACCCAGCCCCGCGGCGTCTGCGTTGAAGGCGACGCCCGTCACCGCCGCTCCGTGGCCTCGGAGGGGCCGAATCAAGACAGGGTCCTCCTGGGGAGAGGGTGCGTACCGTCAGCCTCCGGGAGGGGCGCCCCCCGCACCCCCCTCTCGGGAGCCGTTAGCGTCCCGCACGCAGCAAAAGCTGGGCGGCGAGCTGGCCCCGCACCCTCAGAGCTCCCACCGCCGGGGCGAAGGGCGCCGGGCGACACCCGAGGACCGCCCGTGCCCGGGACAGAGCCCTTACCAGCGCGGAGGCCATGGGCGGAGTGGGGCGCCGCAAGAACGGCAGTGCCGGAGCGGCACGGCAGCCCGTCAAACACCCCGCGCTCCAGGCGCGGCCGGCAGAGCCCCGAGTTCATCCGCACCGCCAATGCCGCGTCCTTCGAGTCGCCCATTCGCCAGGCGCCCCGCGCGGGGCGGGGCCGCACATTGCAGAGTAGGTGCTCGGCTCCCTCTTAAAGGCGTAGGGCCGCGGAGTGACACCCTCGGGGCATGGCGGCGGCCGCTGTGCCTGAGGCCTCTTACTGCAGTTTAGCCGGAGGCAAACATGAAGAGGCAGCGCCTTCAAAGCTAGTGGAGATCTTACCTCGGTTTTGTGACTTACAAGAGGTTTCACCTCACCATGAGGAAGAGCTGCTATACTGTGAGCACTGGAACAGGCTGCCCGCGGCGGTTGTGGAGTCTCCCTCTCTGGAGACGTTGAAAACCTGCCTGGACGTGTTCCTGTGTGACCTGCTCTAGGTGGCCCTGCCTTGGCAGCGGTTAGACCAGATGATCTCCAGAGGTCCCTTCCGACCCTAATTATGCTGTGGTTCTGGGAAATTGATGCAGGATAGCTCTGTTTAGCACCTCAGACTGATTTTGTATTACATTACCTTAGGTAGTTTGTCTCTTTGTCTTTTTTTCCCAGTTGATTCTTTGCCCATTAATACTTTCTAGATTTCCAAGTCGGCATTCACATTTGTATCCTACAGAGTTGTCTGTAATCACTCCTTTAATGCTCTAGTAAAGTACAACGAGCTGTTCAAAAACCCCAAACAACAGCAACAAAAAAGCCAGTCCAACACAGAAAGGTTCGCATTAGCAGTGCTGTGAATACTCGTGCTAGATAAGGGAACCGATCTTGCTGCAAAAGTGCTGCTCCAATAGCTGAGCTAGTAGAACCAGGGTTGACATCAGTTAGCAAAAGGGAGGGCTGTGATAGCAGAACTGCCGTTCAATATGCAACTGCTCATGAAGAAGTAATTCATACTACAATTAGCCTTTAATTTTTTTTTAAATCCAGTCTGCATTTTACAGTTTCATCTGACATTAAACTCTTACATCTACAGAATCAGGTCAGTAATTAGGCCAACATATAAGATTCGTCGGTTACAGGACAGTTTCAAATCAACTATTTAACCATGAAATGCACATTTTCAATAATAATTTTAAAAGTGCTGAAAAAAACAGGATTATCTCAACAAGAACATACGAAGGTTTCAATGAAAATCTGCTAGCCACATTGGTTTTATGCAGGCTGAGTATTTGCCTTTACCACTTCATAATATAAAAGGAAGGGTTTTTTTTAAATAGGTGGTGGGACAAGACACATTGACTTTAATTTGGACCTAATGAAAGCTTTATGTCATTATTACTGCTTCCAGCTCTGGGGCCACCAATGCAAGAAGGATGTGGACTTCTCAAGAGAGTCCAGAGGTGGGCCACTAAGATTATCTGAGGGCAACTCTCCTGTGGAGACAGGCTAAGAGAGCTGGGCTTGTTCAGCCTGGAGAATAGAAGGCTCCGGGGAGACCTTGTAACAGCCTTCCAGTACCTATAGGGGGCCTACAAGAAATCTTGGAGAGGGACTTTTTACAAGGGCATGTAGTGACAGGACATGGGGAATGGCTTTAAACTGAAAGAGAGTAGAGTTAGATTAGGCATTAGGAAGAAGTTCTTTACTGTGAGGGTGATGAGGCCATGGAGCAAGTTGCCCAGAGAAGTTGTGCCTGCCCCATCCCTGGCAGTGTTCAAGGCCAGGTTGGATGGGGCTTTGAGGAACCTGGTCTACTGGAAAGTGTCCCTGCCCATGGCAGGGAAGGTTGGAACCAGATGAACCCTTCCAACCCAAACCATTCTGTGATTATTTGTTCTTGGTTTGGTTTGTTGGTTTTGGTGGCTTTTTTTTCCCTTTTTCCTACACAACTCACTCCCTTTATGTTAGCTCCTGATATTGGTTATCACTACCTAAAAGGTAGCATTTGAAAAAGTTGGTACTGAAAAGACTTAAGTGTACCGCCATACTACCCTATTGCAGGAGCAGTATGTTAACTAGTTAAATTCACTTGTCCTCTTCACCACAACTGAAGTCTTCCAGACGTTTCTCAGCTGTTTTTTGAGCTATCTTTCTCCTAGAGTTTATCAGCTGTAAATGATGCCTCTCAGCAGGGAGACAGCCTGTCCCTCTGGGAAGCAGGTTTACTACCAGATTTTGAGTGATCTTAAGTTATTCTATCCTTCCCAAAACTCCCCTCTGTGCAGCTGTAATTGTGTATTATGGTATCTCAGTATTTCTGCCACCTTATGTTCTCAGGTTCAGATGTGTTCATAAAGCTCCTTAAAACCAAGAGGACAGAAGCACGTGTTACTTTATTTGCAAGCTGAGCTATATGACAGTTCCCAGTCATGCTGAACCTTTTTCCTTTTTCCTTCTTCACAGCTGCTACAGTACCAGCAGCTCAGCATCCCTTATTCATTTTGGGCTGCTAGCAATAAACTGAAATCTGTACCAGCCCACAGAACTCCTGAATTATAAAGTGCCAGGTGATAGGTATAAAGCAAAGAATGGACTGTGATTACCGAGAAAAAAAAGGGTGGCATCCTTCTTTCTATAAGTTGCTGGAATAGTGTTTCTCAAATTGCAGGGCTTACAAAGTTAGTCTGTTCCATGCTGCTTCTCCTTACCTGCCAGTGTTTTGAAGACTCCCAGATGCTTGTAGAAAGCAAAGTATTCCCTTGGCGCAGACATGTAATTAGCTGTAATGACTGCAGTTATAAAGCTGGCAGGTATAGTTTTTATGCTGATTATTTTTTTCTGATTAACATGAATAGATTTTATTTTTAGAATTAAGATTATTGTAAGTCCTAGTAATTTAATGCAATTATGAGTTGGCATTGTGTTTTTGAGGTTGAGAATAAGTGATCCACAATAGGGAAGAGCAATCTACTGCATTAAGTTGTTGTGCGCTGTGATGACAATGATAAATGGTGCCTCAGAAAACATCTTCCAGGCATCATGTCTCAGTAAGCTGTTGTTTCAGCAGCTATGGAGTTTTTTCTCGGACACTGAGTTAAGGTAATGGATGACCAAACAGTAACCATGTATACGGAGAAACGCTTTAAGATTCTAACTCAAGGTTCTTGCAGGCTGCATGGTCACTGTGGGAAAGGACCTAGTAGAAGTACATGTAGAATTCAAGGACACTTAGAAAAACCTGGTACCCTTTGTGCATGTAAGTAAATTACACTGATCACATGTGCTTTGGTGATAACTGAGGTCATACAGTGTATATGCACAAGGTGCAAAGGTAATATACTAACCCAGCTAAAATTCTGTCATATCTAAAATGCGGACTTTTTACTCCGTGTTAAACCTGCTTCAAAATAAAACCGACAGCCCCAGTTTTAATTGCTGGGATCATATTGGGAGCAGCTGTGTTAGCAGCAGGGCTGTTCAGACCCCGGGAGAGGCCTTTTGCCCTCGGGCTGGGGAACCCGAACAGGCGGTGGTGCGCCGTGGGCACTAGAGGGGAGTGTGAGATACGGTTTGCTAGCGTGATGTCGATTATTCATCCACATCCACCTACATGCAGGGGAAGAATGTAGTCTCAGGGCACAAGGGTTTAATTACAGGCTGTCTTGCAGTTGTAGACCCATAATACCTTATGCCCCTGGCACCTTTCCAACCTCTGATCCTACCTTTTTTCTCCTACATCAAAATGGTTATGAAAGTAAATACTGAGACTGTAAAGTAACTTGTGCAGTACTGTCGGGTTTTTTGGTTTTGTTGGTATTTTCTTATCAACAGCCCATTAAAACCTGTTTGCCCACTGCAGCAAGAAAACAGAAAAGGATGTCAAGTAGGTACATATAGATTTGAAATGTTAGGATGATTTGGTATATGATGTTGCTTACAGACTAAGAAACTTGTAGTCTAAGAAACATCCTGGGGTCCTGATGTGTGTGGTTGCTAAGCCTTTCTCCATCATATTTGAAAAGTTATGGTAGTCAGGCAAAGTCCACAGTGACTGGAGAAAAGGGAATAGCACATCCAGACCCTGGGAACTGCTGACCAGTTCCCCCAGATCATGGGGCAGACCCACCTGGAAGTTATGTTGAAGCATATGGAAGATGAGGAGGTGATTAGAGACAGCCAACACGCTTTACCAAGGGTAAATCATGAGTGATCTAGTGGCCTTATATGGTGGAGTGACTGGACCAGTGGACAAGGGAAGAGTAACTGATGTCATCTACCTGAATTTCTGTAAAGCCTTTAGTAAGGTTGCCCAAACCAGCCTTGCCTCTGTATTGAAGTGATATGGATTTGCTGAATGGACTATTAAATGGATAAGGAATTGGATGGATGGTCGCACCCAGAGAGTTGCAGTCTTTGTGTCCAAATGTAAATCACTAATGAGTGGTATGCCTCAAGGGTCTGTTTTGGGATCAGTACTACTTAATAACTTCATTAATGACATAGTGGGATTGAGTGCACTTTCAGCAAATTTGTGGATGACACCAAGCTGAGTGATGCAATTGATATGATAGAGGGAAGGGATGTCACCCAGGGGACCTTGACAGGATTGAGGAATGGGTGCATGCAAACCTCATGAAGTTCAACAAAGCCAGGTGCAAGGTCCTGCACCTGGGTTGGGACAGTCCTCAGTACCAATATAGACAAAGGGATGAATGAACTGAGAGCAGCCCTGTGGAGAAGCCCTTGGGGGTACTGGTGAATGGAAGCTGGACATAAGCCATCAGTGTGTGCTTGCAGCCCAGAAATCCAGCTGTATAGTGGGCTGTGTAAAACATAATGTGGCCAGCAGGTCAAGGGAGGTGATCCTGCCCCTGTGCTCTGGTGCTATCCCACCTGGAGTACTGCATCCAGCTCTGGGGTCCCTATGCAAGAGACCTGTTAGAACTGGGGGAGAGGAGGGCCACGAAGATGATCAGATAAGATTTACCTATCAGTTGTAGCTGATAGATATTTGAGATTTTTCCTTGCTCAACAGATTGTATTTGTACTGAAGGCTAAATAAAAGAACTTCAAACTGCCTGAAGGGAAACATGTAAAACCAGCAAAATTTAAAACCAGCACTTTAAAACAAATAACCATCTGGATTAGAAGCCAAGAGTGACAATTACTCTGCCAAAAAACTTGTCTTAAAGTCATTAGAATTTGTATAAAAGTGGGTGTGTTATCCAAACTTTTTTTTTCCTTTTAATTAGATACTTTTGTGTAAAAGATACCTATCTTTCTAATGACTACAGGGATTAAATTCCTTAATGTTTCTCACTAAATACCCAAACAACACAGTAAAAATACTGACATAGTGATTTGCAGCTGTAGCACATGCTGCGCTAAATGTAAACCTCTCTGAGAGTTACCTTCAATGTCAGACTATAAATCTACTCTCTATAATATGTGTGCATTATTTGAATCTGACAGTGTTTGCAGCCACTTACTGTTTTCTGATAGTGGGCCTGGTTTGACTATGGAATTTTTTACTATGGTGTTTTACAGCAGTGCCATTATTACCTGGCTGGATACCCACATGCAATTCCAAATTTAAAGAACATATTTGTCTTTCTTCTTTTAATGGTTTAACATATGATCACTACCAGTCATGTTTGCTGTGTTGCCAGTAACATGGGTGTGTTGGTAAATACATTTTTATTTCAGTGCACTGGCATCTAGCTTTTCTAAAAATAAGTAGGGCAATTGTTTCTGAATAGATACGTGGTATGTGGGCTCTTTACCATTGTATACAATACCTGAGAAACTGTCATGTTACCAAATGCAATGTGTTGGAATCAAGTTATTTCAGGTATTTCTTGTTTGGTAATGTGTGTTTAAAATCAAGGACTATTCATTTGTCTTACCAGGTTCATGAGGGTTAGAACAAGTTTGGAAGAATTTAATACAATGTGACAAAGGTTAGAACAAATTTATTAATGCTTCAGCAGATGCTGTATAGAATCATGTTTATATAATATCTTTCATGAAGAAGGGAATGGAATGAACAGGATGAAGAGAAACTAAAATAAGAAATTTAACTAGAAAAAATGAGCTCTTGATATTGGAACTCAATTTTAGGGGGAAATGTAGCTTTTATTGAAGTCCAAACTCCCTGAAACCAAATTCTGGCTTAGCTGTCATATTTATGAATAAAAGGTGGCAGTAAATCTATTTGCTGATTGTTAACAAGGAACTTGGTATTTGCACGTAGCAGAATTAATATTGGTTGGTATTTTATAAGTTAATGTGGTTTGTTTTAAGCCAGACTACATTAAAACTCTATGGGTGAGGTTTTCAGCCATTAAACTGAAGGTGTAGAGAATATAAGGCATGATAAAACATTAATACATCATGCTTGACTCAGCTTTTCAAAGGGAAAACTACTGTATGCATTACCTTTAATCAGAAAATGTAGAGAAGCACCTGGTTTTGCCACCTCTACTTACCATTGATCCATATATTTCAAGAACTCAAAAAGCAGTTAGAAACACTCAAATAATTATACGGATTTTCCTTAGTACATAGATAAACAGGGCTTGAGACAGAAACACCACTGAAGACCAAAGACAAGAATGTGGGTTTTTTTCTGTACTTCTGTACAAAGCAGAAAGAGATGCAGATGTTACTATGAGGCTTTGGGGAGCTAGTCAGATTGAATGAAAAATTACAAGATGTGTGTATTACAGAAAAAAAAAAAAAAATCAGATACATTGATATGATGCTTTTTATTCAGAGACTATGAAGTATTTTTCTAATTCTATTAGTTATTCTACAGGGAAGAAGTTGCTTGCTTTTACATTTCCGTAGACGAATATACAGCAGTGAAGGCTGTTGGAAGAGTGTTCTTGAACATGTGCACTCCAAAGCAATTAATTTTATGGAGGATTATAGCAAATTCAGAAACAGAATTATTGCCTGACTCCCAATTCTGATTTCTCTCTCTGATGGAGGCAAAATATTAAATTCATTATAAAATGATTCCAAGGTAGCCTGTTAAGAGATGATAGCACCTAACATACTCTGTGCACTACTTGCAGGAGGGGGAACATGGTGTCCAGAGGGATGGAGAAAGAGGCAGAAGAGTGCACTCAGTGGAAAATGGATGATCATCTTCAACTGCACATCCTGGTGCACACACCACATTTTATCTGTGACATTAGTTTCTGAAGTTCTGCTGAAGGCCAGGGTATGACCCATCAGGGAATTCACGTGCTTAGCACAGGGCTGTGCTATATGCATTTGTTTAACAATGTCAAATACTAGTCTTCCTGCTCCATAGCATCCATGTGTCCTCTAAAAAGGATCCTTGACTCCATATCTCATCTCTACGAAAACTTGATTCCAGCCTTCCTTTAGGTTAGTTTCCAGAGGCACAGGAATACATCAAGGTGTTTCTGACCAGCAGTGGCAGCTGCTTCAGATTCAGGATTGTTGCAGAGGAGACTGGGTTGCATGAGATAAAACCTTACAGATTACATCTTTGCCACTTCATAGGCAACCCTAAATGCTTGTTGATCTGTGTTCATCATGGCTGTAGCAGAGCAGGGTAGGGACTTCTTTGTCTGGAGAAGGAAAGCCTGCATCTATGCATTTCTTTCTTTTATTTTCTGCTGGAGCACTGGCTGCTTGGGCAGGAAGAGCTTTCCAGCATGACAGTTGGCAAAACCCACAACATGACAGGGTACCACAGATGCTTCCTGCTGCTACCATTTAGATTTCCTCTTGACTATTACTTGTGTGGCTGATGCACACAGAAACATGAAGTGGGTGCTAGTAGTTTCAGACTCGCAGAAGTTTTATCATTAAATTCTCTGTTGTTTGCATGCCTGCATCAAGTATAAAAGCTGACACCATAAATGAGACAGCCGGCCGATGGTCTTATTCGAAGAGTAACTGGTGTAGTTACACCTTGTCAGATGCTGCGTATGAAATGATAAAAATCTAACCAATGGGCCCTATTCCACTGGTAAGGCATGCAAGTATAGTGGGTCATTTTGGGGGGTGGGAAGTCAAAACTGCAAGTATCTTTCCCACACCTTCTGTTTTTAAACTTCCTCTCCTGCAAGGCAGCTGTATGAATGCCTAGCTGGATGTGTGACAGCTTGCTTTATGATTTCTCACAGGGGCTGTAATATTATGAAATGTTATGCTGACTTCAGCATAATGTTTCAGAGAGGGATGACTTCTGAATGGCTGAGCAACCCATGTACTGTACAGTGAAGAAAAGCAGAATGCAGCAACTGCTTAATATCACAGAATGATCAGGGAAGAATGCCCTGTTTTTCTTGTTAAAACAAGTTTGTGAGAACACTGCTCAAGTTTCCCTTAGCATTTTCTGTATAACAAAACATTACTTGCTTTTATCATTTTGCACACAAGGCTGCTGCATATGGACACACTATACCCAGAATCCCCATCACAGTCCAGTTGGGATTCCACAGGACATTTTACAGTGGCAGTCAGTACTATGGTCCCAGCTGTGGGGGGGTGTTCAGCAGGGCCTTGTAGCCGACAAGCTATGCAGCACATCAGTATCACTGTACTGATGTACTACAGAAAGGAAAGCAGAAGTCAAAGCCCCTTCCCTTTCAAAGTGAGAAGGGATATCTGGGCACTTCAGCTTTTGCAGATGGGGTAGCAGGAATCGCACAGAAGCGTGCTCTGATGGCTTCTGCCCATTCAGAACTAACACAGGCAGTCTGCCTTCAGTATGCTTTGAGGCTGCAGGCTAACCAG